ATCTATTTATTTTTGAGAGACAGAGTGAGACAAAGTGAGAGTGGGGAGGGGCAGAAAGAGAGGGAGACACAGGATCGGAAGCAGGCTCCAAACTCTGAGCTGTCAGCACAGAGTCCGATGTGGAGCTCCAGCCCACAGACCGTGAGATCATGACCTGAGCTGAAGTCAGACGCTCAACCAACTGAGCCACCCAGGTGCCCCCGCAACCTCCCATTAGATGGGAGAGGAGTGACCGTGGTCAGAGTGCAGGGTTCAAACCCTAACTCCACCACCGATTAGCATGTTATCTTGGCTGAGCAACTTAACCTCCCTAATCTTCAGTTTCCTCAACTGAAAAAGAGAGTAATTGTTCTTACCTCATAGGGTTGCTCTAAAAATCAAACAGTAAGTGATCAGTAAACGTCAGTGATCGTTACTATCAGGGAGGCAGAATAGCATGATGCTGAGAGCAAAGTGGGAGTCAAACTGTCTGCATTTGTTTCCCAAGTCAGCTTCTCTCCAACTTTCTGAAACTGCATAAATTACTTAACCCGAATCTCAGTTTCTTCAGCTATCAAATGAAATAAAAACAGCGTCTATCTCATCAAATAGTAATTTATCACATCGATAATGTTTGCTCTTGCCGTTTTCATAAACAGGGAGTCCCATCAACAGAAAGAACCCAAAAGCAAAGTGTGGTTGTTAAAAAGGTTAAGCTAGATTAATAGAAATTCTGTTTTGAAAACAAGAGATTCCTATCATTCTCTATGCTATGTTACTTCTCAACTCTTGGCCTCAATTCCAGTTTTCACATCCTAAGGGCAACAATTGGAGGGTATCTTCTTTTACATTCTTATAGCACCTGTTTGTAAACCTCTTTTACAGTATTTATCACTTTTGTTATTCTCTTGTCTGTCTCCTTCCCATCTCTCCTTCCCTCAAAACCACGTGCTCTTTGAGGAAAAGGATTCTTTCAACTAGTACCCCTAGTACTTGGCAGGATGTGCCTACTGGATACTCAGTGAATGCTCCCTGAAGAAATGAAATAATGAATGAAAGCGCATGGACTTCTGAACTTCCTATCCCTAGCTTATCCTATGCATTTGGACCACGAGTTAAGCATCGTATGGAAAATGACTACATCATTCTACCCAGAAAAACTTTACTCTCATGAAAATAGGTCCAAGAATAAAATAAGTTGCCTGGTGTTATGCTGACAATGCTCAGGCAAAGTCTGAATGCCCATCTATCAGAGCACTACATGAAAGCCTGGACTAGAGGAGTAAGAAAGTTCTCTTTCAGTCTCAACTGTGATGTTATTTTAAACCTCCCTAATTCAGGAACGCCCGGTTGGCCCAGTAAGTGGAGCGCAGGACTCTTGATCTCAAGGTCATGAGTTCCAGTCCCACGCTGGGGACATTACTTAATATAAGTGAAATAAAAACTTTTTAAAAGCAAATAAAATAAGCCTCCCTAATTCAGGCACCAGGAAATCCCCACCCCAAAATCAGCTGATGTCCTTTTCTTAGTTATTAAAGACTTTGTCGACCCCCGTGAGGGAGGGCGGTGAGGAGGTAAGAGATGGAGTGGGAGCAGCTAGAAGAGTCCTACATTTCAGAGATGAATGACAGCTTCAAAAAAGAAAAAGGACAGAAAGAAGGCAGCTACTAGTCAAAGTCAGCAGCGCGCAGAGATGGGCTCCAGACACTTCGAACGCAGCAACCCTAAAAAGGCCCCCGCTTTGGGAACTCGAGTCACCCCTAACAGGGTGAATGAACGCGACTCCGGGGCAGCGCCAGCGCGGGCCGGTCCGGGGAACAGATTTCACCAGGGGGTCCTGAGCGCGCTTCCCACCGCGGCGCCGAGAGCCGGCCGCGGTCCCCACGCCCCGCCAGACAGCTTCACGCTCCACCTCCTGTCACGCACCCCACGCCAGCCCTCTGGCCCGACCCCTCGGCCCGGACGTCCAGCTCCCACCCGCCTCTTCCCGCCCCACCGCACGCGCCCCGCCGCCCTCACCAGCCGACCAGATCCCGCGGAAACCCAACTCCGCTCCCGCCGGAAGTCAGCCAACGGCAGCGACTGACGTGCGCGCCCCCGAGCCGCGGTGCGCGGCGCCAGCCAAGGAGCATGCGCTGACCTCCAGGCGCCATGCTAGGTGCGGGCGGACTGAAGCCGGCACGTCGGTTGTTGGCGAAAGGATTTAAAGCAATGTCTCGCTTTGAGCTGTCCCACTCAAAACAAAGCTGGGGGTTGCAATTCAGTGGCTTAGGTTGACATCTCTCTAATCCTTCTCGCCGCGAGATACCAGGAATCGGGACCGAGAAATGGCGAACTCATAAAATCACAGAAAGAGGACTCCTGGCTTACAAATAGTGCGGTTTTCTGAATAAAGTGAATGCAATCTTGAACTCAACCCGTAGTGATTATTGATGCTGTATCATACTCTTCATTTCACAAAATGTTTTCATTTACGTTATCATAGGTGATTTGATCTTCACAAGAAACCCGATGGGACAATGTATATTATACCTTCCAATTTACACGGAACAGAAATTTCTGTCTCAGATGGAAAGGTGGTTTCACAAAGACACACAGCTATCAAGGGGAATCGGGCATCCTCTAGCTTCTACTGCCATGATCCAGTGCCCGGGAAGGTGCCTGGGGCAGAGAGTCGATGTTTATTAATTCAATACATGGGTTTTGAATGATTCCTAGAACCATGTTCTTCACACTTTTCTAGAAGGACAATGTCGGAGTTGAAAAAACACTGTCTCAATTTACAGGTGAAGCATCAACAAATATTTATGCACTTAAATAATTTGATCCTGATCCTGTCTGTAAACAAGATGAAAGCATCCACAGCCAAAGAGAGTGAAATTGAGGTAATCGTGGAGATTACTGCCAGTAGTCTATAACCTGAATCACCCTACCTCTCCCAAATGCCAAGGAAGTCTCTAGAAGGTTGGAGTTTTGTCTGTGTCCTGTTTTTCAACCTGCAGAATACACAGATCTGTTGGTTTGCTCTTGTTCTGCCCTTATCTCTCTCTCTCTCTCTCTCTCTCTCTCTCTCCCTCTCTCCCCCTAAGCAGCCCTATGCACTTGAAGCTTTTGGAAGAGAAACAGCCACTACCTTTGACACACGAGCCTTAAAAAAGAAAAAACAAAAAACAAAACAAAGCTTTAATTTACACACCACAAAATCCATCCGTAGATTGTAGAATTTTGCTTCTACAATTATTCCCAGCAACTTTTCAGAGTTATGCAACATCACCTGGTTTAGTCTTTAATCAGAGCTGCTGAAGTTTAAATAAGTTCCCATAATAACCTTTAGAGGTCTCAGAAATGCCTAACAATAATGGCAAACGATACTGAAATGCAGGCAGTATAGAATTTTCTTTTTCCAAAATTCTGGAGTCCCTGTCATCCAGAACATTCTGCCGCTATATTAAGCCCCGGAACCCGGAATCACAGGATGTATAGGACCTCAGATGAAAATGTACCTACACTTCTGGCTCGGGCCGCGGGGCTTCTCGCCTTAGGGACCCACAGCCCGCCAGTGGGCGGGGTCTCGTCCCCCAGAAATCTCGGCGACGGGAGGGGTCCCCTCGCGGAGAGCTTCCGGAAAGGGGCCGAGCCTGACTTCCGGAGCTTTTCGGACGGAGGCGGAGTCTTCTGCCGAGGGCCGTTCGGAAGAAGGCGGGGCCTACCTCGCATCAGGACCAGTCTGGCTGCACCTGCATCCTTCGCTCAGAGCATCCCTGGAGCATCTTAGGAGGCGCCCGCAGCTGGCAACCAGAGGCCCGGCCGTCGCAGGAGGCGTCCGCCAGATACCTCCCCCCCTCCCCTGAGCTAGCGCTCTACCGCGGCGGCCTCGGTGCTGGCCGGGCGTCCCCAGACTTGGCCGACCACTGAAAAAGCATTTACAGCAATAGCCTCTGATTACGACATGGCTGAGATCACCAATATCCGACCTAGCTTTGGTAAGTACAGCCGGGAAAACTAAGCCCGGGCCAGTGGAAACGTCTGCGAAGCCAGAGGAGCCCAGTGCTGGGAGGGAGCGGAGCCCACACCCGGCCCCCAAGCGCCAGCCCCCGCCAGGATGGGGCCTGCGGCGGCGGGCGGCGCCTGAACTTGAGCTGCGGGCTGCAGAGCTGGCCAGGCCCGGGACTTGCCGGGGGTCGCGGGTCCCCACGGCCGCCGAAACCTGTGTGGGCCGCGTCCGCGCGCTGGAGGAGGATGCGGGGGAGGGCGGGCGAGCGGGACGCGGACCCCTCCCTCTCGGGGCGCGCAGGGCGGTGCCCCCTGCTCCCCCTCCCACTGCTCCTCGGGCTGCGGGGGAGGGCGGCGGCGGGGGATGGGCGCCAAGATGGCAGCTGGGGGGGGACCTGGGG